AACCCATTTGCTCCAAGCATAGCACCTCTGGTGCATGCAGAGCCAGCAGGGACGTGCAGTCGCACCCCAGCTTGCAGAGCTGGGCAGCTGAGTGCAGAGACAGAGGCTTTGCTGGAGCTGGCCTGGGCTTGGCAGTGCTGGCGCAGAGTGTGCCTGGACCGAGCTGCCTCCCTGCACAGCGCTCCCCACAGTGTCCTCTCGGTGGGCTCTCAGTCTCTCGGAGCAGTCTAGCCTCCATGGCCCTAGATGGACAGATGCACTAATGCAACATCGCTCTCAAGGATCTGAGAAATTCTGGTGATCCTGGTTTGGATAGCCACACCACACTGTGTGCCAACATAAAACAACACACCTAATTAAACATGCAACTTCGATTTCAGTCAAAGCCCTTGTTTCACTGCCAGAGCCTGGCCCCCACTTCTCCAAGGTGTCCTTGATTTCTTCCAACTCAAGTGATCAGGATAGAGGAATCCTGCTGCAGTACAGAGCCAATTGAGGAGTATGGTACAGAGTTACTTGGGGCTGACAAGATTTCAGATTCATACTGATAGGATCCTGATAGCTTGTTCTGTATAAGCAGGATTTCCAAGATGGAGCTCTTCTGTAACTAGAGGTGACTTTGTTGAGGAAAGTTTTGGTGCTCCCACTTTCCCAATCTGTCCTTTCAGGAAGTGTTGCAAGGTGTCCTCCAAAGGACACCTAGAAGGACAGCGCCGACTTTGTAACAGGGATTTCTGAAGCCACAGCTTGTTTTGGACAATCAAGAAACAGGGATATTAGCTCTATCAGAGACTGCCCTTGGAAAGAGGTGCTTTTAAGTAGGAATCTGTGCTTTGTCCTTCTCCTCCTCCTCACTCCCCTTTTCCAAATCACAGGCAGCAGAAAGCTGGAAAGCACAAGCAATTCCAGGGGCAGAAGGAGGTGTGATGCTCTGGGACCCAGCCTGGGTTGTCTTACTACAGGACAAGAAAGCCTGAGTGTTAATGATGAAAACCAGAGAAGTTCCAATTACCACTCATGTTCCTCTGCTTACAGACCAGCTATTCTAGAACGTTTCTTCCTCACCTCTCCCTGGCAAGCCATAGACTGCTTTAGGGCACTGCACCACTGGCTTAGACGCTCTCCAGCCCACTACTGGAGGTAGTATTCCCTGCAACACAGTAGGAGCTGCTTCTCAGTGAAAGGTGCTCGTTCACACCCCTTCACAGTTATTCCTATGTGCTGCACACTGACTGTTTCTTGTTTTTCTCTTGCATGTGAATGCAAATGTATTCCAAGGAACGGGCATGAGCTGGTAACTCCCAAGACTGACATTTGAAATTGGATTTGTCTCACCTGCACTGTAGATATTTACAGCTGGAGTTCATTATCTAGGCTTACTTTATGGGCAGGAGACAGAGAGAGTAATTCCTGAGATGCAGTGTGTCTCCTTCTCAGGTAAACAAGTACCACAAAGCAGATGTGTCACTCTCTGGGTGTGTGTTTCCACCCAGTGACTCTAATGATATAGTCTAGATCTCAAGGTCCAAAGTAGGTGAGCTGAATCCACCCTTGCATAAAGCAGATTTTGTCACTACCTGTGTGGGAAGTTTGTGTCAGCCCAGTTGTGATCCTTCCCTCTAGTCAGTGCTGGGCAATCCAGAGGGCAATCCCGAATGGAGACAGAAGCAGGACTCTGCTCCCCTTCGTGGGTGCTGCGCTTATGGGTGGGTTACATGATGGGTTACATGATGGGTGGTGACCCAGTGGTGAAGGAAGACCTGTGAGCCAAGACGTACACAGACGCTGCACAGAGCAGCCATTTCTCGGGCGACAGCGAATATGTGAGTTGTTAGTGCATGAGAGGAGGCAGTGGGGCCTAACGGCAGAAGCAAACACACTCAGTTAGTCATGTTTTTCGGAGGTACACCAAAGAATAAAGGCTTTCTGCCCTAGCCTGACTAGAATAGACCCTGACTAGAATAGAATAATCATATAAAAACCTCCATATCCATTCACCTTTCCCCTAAACCATCCATTCCCTCAGGCTCTTTGCTCTCTGCTTTTAATATGTTAAAAGAAGAAAGGCACTTCCTAAATCTGACAGGGTTTCTCCCTGTCCCTGCTGGAGTTCCCTGGGTTACAGGAGTGCTGGAGCTCTTTGAAAAACACACCTAGGTGGGAGAGGAAAAGTCATTAGCACAGTAAAATCCTGGCGATACAAAAGATCCATTCAGAGATTCTTCTGCAAACTGCTGCTCTGGCTTCATTAAAAGCATCGCCTGTGGCTGTCACGCAAATAGGCTGGATTCGTTTTGGGTTATCTAAATGAGAATGATCATTTCTGCAAGGGGGGGGAAGATGAAACCAGTAGGAATTATTCTTTATGAATTATGTGCTCAGCTTTCGTACTGACCTATTGAGTCAGCACTGAGAGTTGGATTTTCCAGCCTTTCATGCTGGATTTTGGATATTTTCTCCTTTTCAGCCCAAAAATATCACTAGAATGGCCCTTCTCACACTAAGTGACGCTGTGGACTCTAGCTGCGTCTTGGATGCAGCGGAAATAATGGAGTTTAGAAGCAGTTACCCAAATCATTCATCCTTTTGGTTTCCAGCATTCTTCTGGGGCTCCCTCCCAGTCTGGGTTGAGCGTGTCAGCATCTCTCAATGCATATGACCTCGTTGTGTCCTGATTACATGAGGAAGTGTTAATATCTGGTGTGGAAACAGGCATTCAAATTGAACAGCTAGCTCTGACAACAGAGTGATGAGCCAATTCAGGCACTAAACTGACAAACCATGATTCTTTTGTAACAGAAGTTTTCTGCCTTTTTTAGCTGTTTGAACTGACTCACTATGGGATCAGAGGAGGCTGATCCCTGGTATAGGCAAAGATGGTGGGTACATACTGCTATGGGTGGTGAGGAGGAGCAGGACCATCTCTGTCAGAGCAGCAAGGAGTTATATGGATGACATATAGCATGGGAGGTGATTCCTAGGTGGCTGAGTCGCCTACTGCGTGCCCATCTTCCTGCACTGAGGCTCAGTGGAGCCCAGGCAGTGCTCTGGAGGCGTTCAGCACTCGGGAGGCTTTCGGTGTGCTTCTCCCTGCTGTTTCAGTCACCACACTATCAATTTTTATTAATAACGCAGCAAACTGAAAATTACTTTGCTATCTTTTATAAGCCTGTGTCAGGGTCTCCATGCCTTTTGGCCCACTGCCTGGTGCCCCGTAAGAAAGTTGTGTTTACAGGTTTATTTTCCATCTGAAGAACTGACAGTTAATCCTGCTACATCCCGAAGAAAATAGTGAGCTTGGATAGGTCTCACTGTGTGCTCTGCATGGCTCGCTTGGAGGGCAGTTTTACAGCAGCACTGGGAGTCACACTGTAATGAGAGGTGTAGTGGCAGGTCAGAAAAGAGAAAGTGTGATGACGCAGGGCTGGAGCTGCAGGGCAGGGCTGAGGGACAGGAGCAGAGCTGTGGAGGGGGACTCTGCAGGTGACACAGCAGCAAGGCTGTGGACTGGAGTGGAGGGGCTGTGGCAGGTCTGTTGGGGAGTCCAGGGCTGAGAGCGCAGGAAGGGACTGCAGGGTGGGTAAAAAAGCTCTGTGGGAAGCTTCAAACTGATGTAGATGGATTAGGACAGAGTTGAAATATGGTTGAAATATGCCCTGGAAGGGAGTACCATCCCACAGGTGAGGGTGGAAATGCAGGAATGGAGCTGCGACATGCAGCCTCATCTGATTCACAGTAGTCTTCTTTGCTCCTCACATTCCTCTGCTTTTTGTTCCCTTCCATTAAATCCAACGAGGACATTGTGTCACCAGATTGCGGGCTGGGCAGCAAAATAGCCAGGCTGTATGTGCCTTCAAACCATGGGGAGGCCTCCTGAGAAGGCCCAGCTATGGCAGCTGACAGCAGTGAGTCTCTCTGCTTCATTCATACACAGCTGTCCAAATATTTCACTCCTCTACCAGAAACAGCGAGACCGTGTGTGTGGAGCAGTGATTAACGTTTCTCCAGACGAGGCTCTAGGGCAGGACATGTTGGCAGGGCTGGGGCATGGCTGTCAGGCCTCCATCCATCCTGGCTCTGTCACAAAATTGCTGTGGTGACACAGCTGCATGTGGGAGAGGATGCCAGGTGTGTTCAGGGTCTCTCTTTTCAGGGTGATACGGTAGGGTTCTTTAGCTTCCAGCCAAGTACCCCCCAATGTCTCCACAACACACAGCCTGTAGGAGAAAAATAGTGTCCATCAAATAGTTCTTGACTGCATATGCAGCTTTGATAATAGGGCACCTGGATTTCTCAGTGTGTCCTGCCTGTGACTAGTACTACGGCCATAGAGTCCCCTTGCATTAGGTAATGCAGAGGTGTGGTTGCTGTTGCCTGTTTACAGGTTTCTGGGCTTCCTTGCTAAGAACTGCTGTACAGCTCTGCCATGTTTCTCTTTTCCTTGCCCACCTTCCTGTATGACTAGAACTGATACAGTGTCAGAATACAATAAATACAAGAAAATAGTTGAATCAGATCCTCTTCTAGAAGTCTCTGCTGAGTTTGAAGCCATTTATTCTTGCATTTGATACTTGCAGAGACTGTATCTGACATGCAGTACAAAGACAGCTTCCATCAGTGTGTAGCATATATTCAACAAGAGTATAAATCAAAGAAGGGCATTGCAGTTAAAAAGATGTAATGATAGAGCTTATTTCTGAGGAGTGGCTGATGTTCCAGAAATATTTGCAACCAACTTCTTTTATAAAATGAGTTATGGTGCTTTTAATGGAAATTAGAAGGCAAAATCAAAGAGCAAGAGGGGCGAATGATTATGATTTTGAATTTTGGTTTTTAATCTGTTTTTCAGCTGGTTCTACTTGCATGCTGTGACTGACCTGAGCTGATGCAGCGTTTTCTGTTACTTTAGCAAGGTTCTTGACCCTGATACTGCATCTAATTTTGCTGGGTTGGTTGTCTGGGGAGCTGCCATCTAATCTGCTCCCTGTTGGCCCCTGCAGATCTTCCACATGACCTACGATCTGGCCAGTGCTGTGGTGCGGATTGTGAACCTGATTGGGATGATGCTGCTGCTGTGTCATTGGGATGGCTGCCTCCAATTCCTTGTGCCTATGCTGCAGGACTTCCCCGACGATTGTTGGGTGTCCCTCAACCGCATGGTGGTAAGTGCTGCTCTGCTTGCTCCCTCACGCCCTAAACCCAGGCCCACAGTCACCGCATCACCATTTCAGCATTGACCTCCCAGCACTAACATGGCATCCCTCAGATTCCCATTTCTCCCCACCTGCTTTTAGGGCCTTCCTCCACTATCCAGCAGTCACTTGTAAAGCCACGGCACTGTGGGCATGGAGGGAGGCTCCTTGGAAGAGGCAGTCTCAGGGCTGCAGACGAGGACCCCAGCCCCAGCAGAGCCTGCTGCCGGCTGCCTGCAGCAGAAGGCAGGAGCCAGGCTCCCCCTCCTGGCAGGAAACAGCAAAGAGCAAAATGGAAACGGTTTTCTGCTGGGATCTGGGCATACGGAGCCAAAGGCAGGAGGCAGAGGGGGTCCTAGAGCCATTGCTGGGTCTGATCCATAATTCCCATTACCGGTCCCAAGGAAAATGTTCCATATCCACTTGAAGGGTCGGTGTGATCACCCACTTTTCTCCCTGGGGAGCTACACAATATCCCGTTAGAGTGGGCTGAAACACTCTGCCAAGCCACAGTTTGGCCTCCCGTCATGGGATCGGTAGCCAGACTTCCCAACAATGTCCCAAGCTGTGCTGCTCACTCTGGTGTTTGCTGTGAGGGAGATTTATACCATATGGTAAATGCATGGGGAGTTCATGGTACCTTTCAACCATCTTGCTGAGAATTCAGGATCTTTTATTCGAAGGGACAATGTCCAGTTGATTAAGCAGCAAAAACTGACAAAGCTTAAAAAATTGCCTCTTGTTGCAGCTCTTAACCTCCAGATTCCCCCAGCCAATTTTTTCTTAAAAAAAATAAAATCAGGCGCTCGGGCAGAACAGAACAAATGTAAAATGTATAGAAGAACTGCCAACTTACCATGCCTCCCACATGCAGAGCTGTGGGCACATGCTGCCCATGCCTGAGAGGAGTGAGCATCCATGAAAAAGTGGTCTGTTTGGTGTTTATTTATTCATTTCTTCCCTCTGCAATAATCATTCACTTCCTGCTGTTGAAAGGTGCCAGACTGACAGTTCTGGAGACTAGAACCCTTTATTTATCTACAGCAGAGGAACAACCCATGGAGCAGCTGCCTTATCTTCCCCCATGCTGCCTTTTTATTATTTATATGGCAGGAGCAATTGAAGATCAGGGCCTCATTGTGCTTGTGCTATTCAGGTTCAAAAGGACATAAAGCTCCTCATTCTGGAGAGCTCAGAGGTGCAGACAGAAATCATCCCCTTCCAATGAAGTGATTTGGCCGTGGTGCCCTGGCGGGACAGCTTCAGAGCAGCAGATTTGAACCATCCTAATATTTGGGTGGAGGCTGCTCTCTGATGGCAGCAACTTCTGTTTGCTTTTGCCACGGGGGGAAGAGGTAAAAGCTAGGCTTGCAGAGTTACAAGTGTGAGTAGCTCAAAGGCTACTGGCTCAAAGGCCAGCAGATACGAGCTGCAACACAAGCTGCAAAGTGACCTGAAGAGTCAAAACAACCAGGTCTGCTGGTAACTGGTGCTTGGAAAACCTTCACAGAAGGCAATAACTAGCACTGGCAGACACACCTGGTGAGTGGAAAAATAATTCAGTGTCTGGAGCACTGACCGAAAGTGGAACACCTGGGTTCAGTTCCCAACTCTGTTGTGTGTAATCCTAGGCAAGTCAGATGGGAGGCTCTGAGAGTTCTCCCTCCCCAGATGCTCCTGAGGATAAGTAAATACTGTAATGGTGGCTGTCTAGAAGAGTCTGAGAGACCTGGGGTTGTACTGAGTAGGTTGTACAAATGCATGGGACAAGCTAATGCAGATTGGTCAACACTTTTCACTCAGAGGCTGTAAAGCCAAAAAACCACTTGTGTAACCCAGTGGAATGAAGAGCTGCAAACATATTGGGATCGGAGCCCAATGAAGAGGGAAACAAAGCTAAATTTATGTAGTCTAGAAAAAGAGTTACCTGGGCTAGACTATGATCAGAGCCTATAAATGACCATCAAGGTAGTGAAGGGATAGGGTCTTGAAAGGTGGCAGGAGACAGAAGAGAGGAAGAAAAGATTTCTCCCAGGCACTCCACAAGACTGTGAAGGTGGAAGGGTGCATCCCACAGGCGGGAGGAGCAGGGTAGAAAGTTCCTATCGATAGCAGAGCTTTACCCAAGCAAGGACTCATGCTGCAGTACTTGTATTCCCAGTCTTGAGAGCCTGTGAAGCTAAGAATTAAACTTGCCTTGTGATTTTTTCTGCTTCTCCTCTGCAGCTAAATCACCTTCATTTTTTCCACTTAATAAAAGCGAAAAATAATTATTATCTCAGTGACTGTCGCAGAAGTGGAGCCTCAGGAAACTGGGATGAAGAATTAGAGAGATGGTTATATGCCCCACCTATAGTTCAGGTGGCTTCCACTACAGAAGCTGTACTGGAATATGCCAGTGCCGAAATAGCTTGGTTTTAGAACATTTAACAAAGAGAATAATTCATTCTTCTGGAATCAGATAGTTTCTGCTCACAATAAGGTCCTGTCCTCTAGTTCCTGAGAGGATTTCCAGATATGTCATTGGGACCAGTGATGGATGTGGATAGTGTGATTAGTGCAACAATTTACGTACAGTCTATAGTGAAGTAATAGGAGAGGCCACTGAGTCAGGAAACAAGAAACCAGTGGTCTGGGCTGTTCTCGAGACTTTGGTGCCAAGATCTTGATGGTCGTTTCCAAGAATGGCTCTGCTTGAAAGCTGTGATGGACAGGGTTGAGAGGTGGGAGGCCAGGATGGCATCTGTCTGTGACAGAGAGTTGGCAGGTTGGATTTTGGGACATTCTGTACTGACCTGGTCACGGCTTTGAGGAGATAAATATACTTGGTGCATGACTGCCCTGATTACACGCAGGAGCCAAAAAGCTGGGATAGAACCACCAGAGGAAAAAAGGAATCTTCTGAAGCTGCTACAGCCAAGGGGAGCTGAAAGTGAGGTGCCAAATGCTTCGGAGGCTTTCTCCTTGGGTATGGTGGTGCTGCTCTTCCACTGCTCTGGAGTTCACCACCTAGCCACTTGACAGTCCATAAAAGCAGCTCTGATTCCGACTCAGCAGGGAAGGAAGATTCATCACCTCCCATCTGCTTCCTAAAGGTTTGATCTTCTTCCAGGGGATCTGTGAAGGGTCTGGTGTTGCCAAAATCATATCAGGGGCTTTATAAATCCCTGGGTCCAATTCATCTTGTTGTTTTCTACATGCACCATGTTTCATCTTTAGCAATTGTAGAAGGAGTGACTCTCTGTATGACTTCTTTCTGAACTGGCTCTGAAGTGGCAGGGAAGGATGTTTTCAGTATTAATTGCTCAGCCCCAATCTCAGGGGCTTCAGCATTAGCTCCCCTGCAGGGCACTTTATTAAAAAGAGAAATGCTGGTAAGTCAGCTGCAGAGCGGCATGTGTGCGGGCAGCAGCATCTCCCCAAGACCCTTGCCTGGCAGCTCCTCATCAGGGAAATCTGAGCTCTGCTGAGACCTGAAAGCTGCTGGAAACACGTGGCTCGCTCCCTTGGGTATTGTGCT